CAATATTTTTAATACACTGAGAGTGTAATATATATTTTTTTATCTTTAAAGGTATAAAGTGAGGTTTCTTAAATTTTTTAGAGTATAAAATATAACTCGCCCTTTTTTTTTTTTTTGAGAGATAAAAAAAATTCCGACCCTTTGACTTTTGGAAATGCATTTGATGACGTACTCTATAAATGATTTTTTTAAATGCTATTATTCCAATTGACTTGTAGGGGAGGAGAAAGCTACACCTCTCCTACAGTAGTTGGTCGGGGAACAAAAAAGGATTTCATTCCAAATTGAACTAAGGTTATAGTGGTCATACTTAAACAAGTGATTCTTTTTTAAGACTCCAAGTTAGAAATACAATATTAACTATTGAAATCAGGCCATAGAAACTATCCTCATAAGTTAGGNTTACTATTAATAAGTGAAGAACCCATTTAAATATAATGGGGGTATCACTTGAACATATGAAGAAAAAATGTGTGTACAACACCTATAGAGTATTGTATATTCCCGTTAAATTGTTGTCACTTATAAAATTATTAATTTTAAAAAAAAAAAACAACTTTTGAGTTCGACAAACAGGTATTTTGGCTCAACTGTGTTGTTTTATTGCCTATTTGCCAACTAAATATGGGTAGTTTAGGTATTTTGAGATTCAGCACACTCAAGTGTAATGGTTGGTTTGATGGTTAATGTCTCGCTATTGGACCTTGAAGTTACGGGTTTGAACGTCGTTGTCCTCCTCACCAAACAAAAAAAAAAAAAAATTGAAAATAGCACAGCACACATACTAGCTATTAGAACTGCCCAATTTGTTCGATCTTCAAATATATTGGTTGATGATGACACCCCAGAATTGCTCATGCCTCATTTACTCTTTGACATCCCTTTTCTACAAAATGCCATTTGTTTTCGTAAACAAAAATACTTTTTTGTCTTCTAATAACCGAGAATCGTCTCAATCACACGCTCTTTAAATTTATGACTAATATGTAAATTTTGGACACATGATCATTTACAAATTATGTACATTAAGTCTACTAGAATAAATATATATATTTACCAAATGCATATTTAAAATTTTTGCATATTAATCTTTGAAATTTTACTATCCGTGACAGTGCCATTGAAGAGTTAAGGTGCTGACATATTTCTTCTTCAGATCACCAATTTGACTTAATTTTTTGAGGGGAGAATTGCAATTTGNGGAACAAAGAGCAAAACCACCCAAAAGAGGGACTCATAAAAGATCAATACTTGCTTTAAGGATTGACCTTGTCCTTTGGCCTCGTGGTCAGTATTATCATAATTAGACTGGACATTGAATCGACAGAGGGACCGGGTCAATAGTTTATTGGTTCAACTAGTTGGATCGGTCTTATAATAAAAAANTCTTCTTCAGATCACCAATTTGACTTAATTTTTTGAGGGGAGAATTGCAATTTGTACGCTACAAGATTAAGGATTCTCACTTTATACCTTTAAAAATAAATTTTTTTACATTATACTTCAACGTATCAAAAATATTACAATGTGACCCTTTTATTAGATTTTGTTATTTTTTTTGTTAGTGTTTAATGGGATGATTTTTGACNACTTGCTTTAAGGATTGACCTTGTCCTTTGGCCTCGTGGTCAGTATTATCATAATTAGATTGGACATTGAATCGACAGAGGGACCGGGTCAATAGTTTATTGGTTCAACTAGTTGGATCGGTCTTATAATAAAAAAATAAAAAGNTAATTAGATTGGACATTGAATCGACAGAGGGACCGGGTCAATAGTTTATTGGTTCAACTAGTTGGATCGGTCTTATAATAAAATAATAAAAAAATAAAACATAATAATTTTACTAAAAAATTCATAATCACAATAAAAAAATAAATAGTGTAATCTGTGTATGGTGTATTATAGTGTACTGTGTGTTTTGATTGTTGAGGGTGTTTATTAAACTATTGTCTATATTCGTATTGACTCTGTGTGTGCGCGCACGTGTAGAGAGAGAGAGAGACAGAAAGACAAGACCNAGTTGGTCGGGGAACAAAAAAGGATTTCATTCCAAATTGAACTAAGGTTATAGTGGTGACACAAAATCGTTTTTTTTTACACCAAAACCATTCCAATGATACATACCATTTAGATATTTGAGTTATTTAAATTCTGAATTTACACAATTTTTATGGAAAATAACTGTCAACCATTGCTGCATCCATTCACGAGTCTAAGTGTGATTACTCAATTCATGGGTCAACAAGTGATTCTTTTTTAAGACTCCAAGTTAGAAATACAATATTAACTATTGAAATCAGGTCATAGAAACTATCCTCATAAGTTAGANCCCCGCATCTCTTACTCCATTACCAATTGTGAGTGTGTGTCTGTGTGGAGAGAGAGAGAGAGGAGAAAAAGAAGTCCGATGTTTGAGACTTGGAGATCTAGTGTTCGAGATGATCTAGATCTGTAGTGTCGTGTGCCGTTGTTTAAGTGCTTGATCTGGAGAAGACGAAGAAGGTGGAGATGACAAAGGCTGGTTTTTTAATCATTGGTTCACTAGCCAATTTTTCGGTTCTCCAACAGTTCAATTACCCAAATGGACTTTTTAGTAAATTGGACCGTTGAAGGTCCTAGTTCACTGGTCCGACCGGCCAATCTGGTCTGGTTCATAAAACATTGCTCATGGTTGAGAACATCAAGTGTGGTCAACTGGACTAGACCTAATTAATTTATTTTTTGTGAATTTCTAACAATAAGTTTTGAACCTTCGAACCATCTTTCTTTTGAGAAGGCATGGCCCCACTCAATTAGTGGCTATAATCGATTTAAAAAGTTTTTCTATTTTAGCAGTTAAAATATTTGATAAGATTAAGATTATTTTTAGAATTATTTTTTCTTAATTTTTTTAATGCAATAAATTCCACGTTAATTAATAGTGCATGGTCTAAAGGACAAAATCGAAGGAAGATGAGAAAGACTTTTAGGAACATAAAAAAAAGCAAAAATATAAGCTTCCTCAAACACACATTTTCTATACATAAAAACTTACACAAACTTCCACCACAATTAGGACTATTCAAAATTTTGTTCACTCGACCCATTCCTCATCCTTTCTACTTGATTATTAGAATTTCGCAAAATTTCGGCCGATCAATGGAAGAAATNATAAAAAAAAGCAAAAATATAAGCTTCCTCAAACACACATTTTCTATACATAAAAACTTACACAAACTTCCACCACAATTAGGACTATTCAAAATTTTGTTCACTCGACCCATTCCTCATCCTTTCTACTCGATTATTAGAATTTCGCAAAATTTCGGCCGATCAATAGAAGAAATTTAGTGTTTCACAAAACAACAGATAAGAATGTTGAATATCCATAAAAATTTCACTTTTTTACCCGACTCACACATATATTTAAATTTTTTTAAAAATAATATATTTAGTATAAAATGATGTCGTTTTATATGCTCATATTATCAGATTTATTATGTTTTATTTAGTGTGTATTGGTTTATTGTGTTGGTTTACATGTTCTTATATTATAACTTAATAGACTAATTGTAGAAATAGTTCAAAAATTTGGTAATTGAGTTATTAAAATGATCTAAAAATTAATAATTTAAAAATTAAAAATATCTTAGATATTCCACATTCTTACTCGACTTCTAAGCCGATTTTTTGAATAGAATTCGACTCAAAACATTATCTTTGATCAGGTAGGGCCAGACAAGAAATTGGTCTTCCGAGATTCATCAACTTGAAAGATAAAATACATTATTTCCTACCGGTCGACTCAAGTAAACAACCCTAAGCACAATCAAGTACAACCATGTTAATGAGCCCGAAGCACACAGACTCCATATGCGACTATGTGAAGATTTTCTTTCATAGTTCTCTTTGGACATTTTTGATATGGCAAAAGAGAGCCGGCCCTTTGATTTCAGGAAGGGGCTCCAACCCTATGCCAAAATGTCCAAGATTTAGGGGCGGGATAGGCAACACCTATTCCTGTCACTTGGCCCTGAGCTTGGTGAAGCAAATTAATATTAGAGGGAATTTCAATCTATTCGAAATTAAATATTTTTTTGCATTCAAGTTGAAATGTGCCTTATTGGCCAAATAAACTGCTAGTGACACCAATATGAGAGAAATCAAACCCGAATGAGTAGTTTAAATGCTAACATAGACGAGCGATAAATTCAGACGTTCTGAATTTGAATGTTGATGGCTTTTTAACAGATATTTATTTCTCATGAATACCCTAATTCTAACATGAATAACCTAATTTTAATCGAACCAGAGAAAAAATTAGTTGAAGTATACATAAATAGACAGATCATTCCTCATTTTGAAACAAAAAAAAAGAAGAGAAATCTCTCCCTGTAGTCACCTTTTCTGTTGAAGCTCTTCCCACATTAAAGCATAGAAGAGACAAGACAATGAGACGGTCTATGTATATTTCATACCTTCATCATGATTTTTAAATAAAATAAATATTTTATAATTGCCTGCTTTAAATATTAATTCTTTGACTTTGTCAGTTTTGGTGTACTTTGCTGTCCTCTTACCAAAAAAAAAAGGTTTTAAAATCTGTTTGAAAGAGTCCACAAGCAGAGGAATGTGACCCCTTAACAGTCCTCTTCCATCCTTTGCCGTCCTATACAAATACATCATATATCAAGACCAAATTGTACATTTTATACCAATCACCACCTCTCCATTTACATCATGAGCTCTTTATTCTAAGGTCTGCACCTAAGAAGGGTGAGCATTTGCGTAGCGGTAAAGTTGTTTGATGGTGATTTGGCGATACCGTAAAGTTGTTAGATGGTGATTTGGCGATACCGGCTTGGGTTGCAAACAATTTTTCATTGTGCAATCTTCGTTTTTTGTTCATTTTATTCCATCCACCACCTCTCCATTTTTCATAAAGAGATTTTCATCATAAGTTTGAAGGCGGGTCATAGTGCAATAGTAAGGTCGCTTCACTATATTTTTTGGCAGTTATGGGTTTGAGTTATAGAAGGAGTCTAGCAATACAAAATGTAAGTTGCACACATCTTATTTTCCTTAGAATAAATAATAATAAAAGTTTCGTACATTAAACTACATTTTTTGTAAATTTGAATGTGTAATTGTTCTCAGCTTGTGCCATATCTTTGGTCTTATTAACTTTCTCTACACAACATGATAGGTGCAAAAATGAAGACCGGATTACAAAAGGAAAACAAGTTCATTCAATTCGTTAAAGGTCCCATTAGAATTCTGGCCAAGGCTAGGGACTTGTACACAAAAAGCATGTATGATTGTGCAGGGAGGATCAATCAAGGGAGTGTGGTGGTCTGCACAGCTCCAATAATGCCTGAAATGCTCAGAAACTCTAGTGCTAATTCATCAGCAGAATTCAACAATGAAGATCTTAGGGAGCTTATTCGAGTGTTGTCGACGAGGAGAGGGGGTGGGGGTAAGGTGGAGGAAGGTGATCTGGAGCAGCTGGAATGGCGGCAGCCGGTGGTGGTTGAAGGTGGTGGTGGGGTGATGGGGAGGAGTTACAGTGTTGGGGTGGGAAAGATTGGGAGGATTGATGAAGAGAAGCCTTGTGATTTCGTGGAAGTAGATATATATCCAAGACGCAAAAGTTATGCCAAGAGGATGTTGCACATCACTGAAGGGGTAGATTAAAGATGTGCACATTTGTGTGTGATTATCTTGGAGAGAGAGAGAGAGAGGAGTGGAAGAAGATTATTTTTCGATTTGTCGTGCTCGATCGTATACCAATTCAGGTTGGATGATTTGCCATTAACGCAAATCGATAGAAAGTATACTAGAGTAAATATGAATCTGAGGTATAATGTTCATAAAGTTGCTTTAGTTTCCTTTCTTTCCTAGAAAATTAGCTCAAACCAGTTGGATTTCTGAGAATTGTAAGAGGTGCAACCCTTTGTTAATGAAGTCATACTACACCCTTTCTTGTTTTGAATTCTATAAAAATGGGCGTCTCTAGTAGTGCTGTAAAATGATCTGAATAGCTTGGGCTTGGCTTGGGATCGATTTTGTCTTATCTTGTGTAGGCTTGTTCATATTGTAAAATAAATGAAATATGAACATATTTTGAAACTCGTTTTTAAATAAATCAAATCTAATCAACTTGTGACTCGGTTCGAATATGCCCAACTTAGCTTGAATAGGTTCCAATATTTGAATAATTCTAATTTTATTTCCAAAACTATTATCTAACAGATGAATTGAACAACCCCAAATTGTGTCCAATTTACCCAAGTTCATATGCATTTCTATCTCTTTCACTCTCTCAATGTATTTTTTAAAAATTTTGACTTTTAGCATTTGACTTTATGGTTAATTATACCTATTTGGGAGATTTTTCTTTTTTTGAGAAACTGATTCTTTTAGGATTTGATTATTATGTTTTACGGTTAAATTTTAAAAAGTTTTACTAATGTTCGCAAACTGGTGACAAGTCGAATTTGGACAAAAATTTAAACTTGACAGTTGAACTTGGCGTGAGCTTGAGCTTGAGCAGTCACAACCGAATCAGCTTGAACATATTCAAGGTAGATGAGTTCGATTCAATCAATGCCTCTAGTGTCTAGGTTCATTATTCGTACAAGAGGCAATGGGATTTAATGATGTTAATAGAACTGTCGGGATGAAATGAAAATTCTCCATTTGGCCACCAGAATAAGTAATTGTATATTAGCAGAATCATCCAATAACATCCGGCAGAATATATTTACATCCCTAAAGATTAAAAAATTATATTTTATACCTTAAGATATAAAATTTCTCATATCTATATAATAAAATATAATATAATTTAAATTTCAGACGATAAACAAAATGATTTTGTTATTCGCAGTTTGAATCTTTTTAAATTTTATTTTAAAGTTAATCTAATAACTAATATTAACACCCTAATTTTAATAGATAAAATAGGTCTTTAAGAGTATGTTTAAATCGACTTTTTAAAAGTGCTTTTAAGAATTATTTCTCATAAATACTTTTTAAAAAAAAATAGTGTTTGAAACTATCACACCATTACCTTTACCACCACCCCCCACCGCTCTACCACCATCACCACTACTACTACCACCATCGCAACTGCTATCACTATCACCACCCTACCACACCCATCGCCCCACCACCACCACCACCACCACCACTGCTACCGCACCCTATCATCATTATCACCGTTGTCGCACCTTACCAGCACCGCCCTTTTCCCAACATCACCTCTACTATCCTCGCCATCATCACAACTACCACCATCATCGCCACCAAGCACCGATTATTACCATCGTTGTCCACTGTCACTATCCACCACCACTATAATCGCCATCTTATTCTTATATTTATTATCATTACTATCATTATACCACTACTACAGTGACCCACCGTCAACACCCACCACCACCATTGTTGCCCACTGTCACCCACTACCACAACCAATTACTACCCATTGTCGCCCACCATCGCCACTAGCCACTAGCCACTGTTACCCACCCCCACCACACCTACATCTACCTCTACCCCCCATCAACCATCATCACCTATCATCGCCCATCATTATAGCCACCCACTGTCATTTATTTCTACCACACTTACTACCGCTGCAATTATCCACCACCTATCACACTATCACCTATAAGCATTCATCGTCGCCCACTACCACCATTGCCAACCACCATCACTGTTGTCCACCACCATCACCACCACCGCCATCACTCACGGCTGCTACTATTATCATCGTTGCCCAAAACTCATCACCAACATCACCGTTGCCACCCACAATTGCCACCATCACTGCGGTCGTTGTCACCTACCATAATCATCACCTTCTTCCACCATCACCACTACCACTGCTCATCCCCATTATAATTGGTATTTAAATTTCTTTATCTCTCATTTATGTCTGTGATTTGTTTTTTGGGTGTGAATATAAATATATTTATTGTTGACTATTATTTTATTATTTCATGCCTTCAGAGACAGAAAATAATTAATATTATTCTAAAAACTTGAAATCTTTTAAAGGGAGGAGGAAAACCATAAAGAATTTTCTGTCAAGTGTCTAGTACCACTTTATTTTATCTCTTTTATAACCAAATGATTAATGAGAAGAAAAAACCAATTGGGCAGAGAAAAAAAATTTAAAGCTTAGGAATGATAAAGTCATGGATAGGTCAAAAAATTGACATTCATTATCAATTGGATTATTAGATTGATATGAAATAAAATTAATATTTTATAGTACAATGTAAACAAATTTATAATTAAGGATACAAAGTAAAATAAGAGAATTTATCCTTACATTTTAATTATAAATAGCATTATTGTAGCAAAAGGGCAAAGAGTGAGATTACCATTTCGGGAGAGTCTACGGTACCGCCTGGTCAAATAGTGGTACAGTACCGAAAATAAGGTGTAGCCACAAATTTTTTGGTATTTAATATTACTCAAATGTGTGGCTGTAAATTTTTTGTCATTAAATATTACTCCTTAAAGGTGATAACTTTGCCTATAAATATAGTAACATTATCTTAAAGGGTTATAACTCACCTCAAATACTTGTATATCAGTGGATTTTATTATATAAATTTTTGAGGTTTTTTACAAAAAAGAGAAAAAGAAAAAAATAAATTCTACAAAATTATATCTTTTATGAGTCATGTTATAACTTTTAGGATTAAAGTTACATTTTTTTAGGATCAAATTAGAATTTTTGAGATAGTTGAAATCAATTCTAAATATTAAAATCAATTATTTTAATTCAAGATCACCTGTGAAATTCCAAAAAATAGCTTCTCAGATTTATTTAAATAAAAAATATTTTATCGTCCTTGGAAAAAAGAAATTGAATGTGATCCAAATTAACTCGTGTTGGCGTATCCCCTAATCTGACTCACTATTCAAATTTGTATATAATTAATCAAATTTTTGTTTCATTTAAAACTATTAAATCTAAAAAATCAAGCATAACAACGGCCAAGATCACTTCATATGTTTTTTGATAAGTAGGATCACTCCAAAATTTTTCATTATTTTTATAAAAAATCTCAATGTTATCAGCGGACATATGGGCCCACAGCTAAAGGGCTGTCAAAGACAAATGATGCCACACTTGATTGTAAAATACAAACTTGTCCATGAACTTTAATAATATTTCACTGGGGGCAATGTCTTAAATTTTTTGAAATTCTAAATATACCCTACATGTTTTAAAAATTGCAGTGGGGGCAGCTCCCACTGTAGATTCGCCCCTGACCACCACCACGACTTCGACTTGGGTATTTAACTAATGTCTTATTTGTATCTAGTCCTAGATGTGAGCCTGTAACACTTTGGAGAGATCAAATGACATATATGAGTTACTAAGTGTCCTTTCATGGTTTTTAAGGTCAATACTGAATGATAGATCAGTTGTCTTCAAGCTTTCTGTAACTAGCAATTTCCACAGGAATGTGTCCAACAAGATTGTTTGGTCACAGTGACATCTTTTTTTAGCTTTTGAACCATACCAGACAGATGTGTCCAGAAGGGCCTATTCTAAAACAATACAAGTCAACAATCGTGCAGGTTTTGANCTAAGTGTCCTGGATGTCCAGAAGGGCCTATTCTAAAACAATACAAGTCAACAATCGTGCAGGTTTTGAAGCTTTATAATGCCTGTTGGAATACTGCTCACTAAACTATTTTCCACTGAAGTGGAGGTGACTGTGGATGCGGTGGTGCTGGGGGAGATTTTTGGTGGCGACAATAGTAGTGTGGCGATGACAATGGTGGTGGTGGGTATAGGAGATCGATATCAATGCGGCTCAACAGGAGAGAAAAATAAAAAGCGTGGGCTTTAGACCCCACTTATAAATAAGGCCCCAAATTTGAGAGATCAATAATGTAATACATGTCAGGGAAATTTGAGGGCCGATCACCTTTTGCAGACTTATTTGAATTTTTAGTACGTTAAGAAAATTTATTTGGTTATAAGTCTATTTTGATTTCTATTGTCTAAAATATTCCCCATAGTTATATTTAATTAAACCAAATTTGAAAACTAATAATGCCTAAATTTTAGGAGTTTTACTAGCATTAAAATTATTTCTCTCTTATATCTATCTATATCTATGTAATAAAATAGAACGAAATTTGAATCCAAAGGACAAAGAGAGGTTCAAATCGTTTTGAGACAAAATATAAATACATCCAACAGATAATGTAATCTCAATATAAAAAACGGTTCAAATCATCTCAAAAATTATGATCCAACAATTATAATTGGACTTAACTCTAACACTTCTATCTCTCGTATTACTCTCTCTCTCTTATCTCTTAGACATTTTAAAAACACTATCTCATCTCTTTTCTCTCTCTCTCTCTTTATATATATATATATATATATATATATATATATTTATAAATAAAATAAAATAGTTAAATTCAAAACCAATCTAATCGCCATCACCACTTCTACACAAATAAAAAGTNATATATATATATATATATTTATAAATAAAATAAAGTAGTTAAATTCAAAACCAATCTAATCGCCATCACCACTTCTACACAAATAAAAAGTATAAATATACAATCCATAAATAAAATAATAAAGTTATTATTTATACCAAAAATAATTCACTACTATATGAAAACTTGTAGTTCTCAAAAAA